ATTCAGAAACCTGTAAAACTCTTACCAATGCTACTTCCTAACAAAGGCAGTGCAAAAAGAAGGCAACCAGAAAGAAATGTTAACAAATGGAAGACAGATTAACCTCATTAAATTTGCAATTGTCCTGTAACTCATTATTCTAAGGAGAAGGAGAGGAGAAGGCAAGGAGCACGCTGCGCGCTTGTTCTTTACTGTAGGTGTGGACACACACTGTTCCCTCAGCCAAGTTGTCCTTTAAAGATTATTTCTGATGCATTATGCAGGTCATATATAGTAAATTTTTGATGTATTTGTGGCATTATACTTTTCTAAATGGCTAACACTACATGTGATAAAGAATGAAGTTTAAAAGGGACAGGGAAAAAATAAAAAAAGACCTAAGCAGGAGAAAATGAAGAAAAGCCTAACGAGAGTACTAAGCAAAATAAATACAGGCAGTACAGTAGCAGCACCTGTAAGTAAGTATGTATACATCATACTCCTCTCCCTTTAAAATCAATGAATATTATTCCAGGGTAAAAAAAAGGTGCTGAAAATTTTCAGACTTTATGGAATGGCGTGAGCTTATTCATGGGGTCTTGAAAATACAAGGAATCTTCTCCAAGTTATACCAAATTCTAGGTAAGGTAGTAACAAAGGAACTCTTACACAGCTTTTTATAAAAAAAACCCCTCAAAATGTCAAATTTCATAAGAGATTTGTGAAAGGAGCATGAAGTGCCTCGAAAGCAATAGGTAAGCCATTTAAAAACAGCAAAGGGACCACCAATTTTAAAAGCTGAGTGATTTGGTTAAGAATAATTTGGTTAAGATTTTGGGTAAGTAATTAAAGAGTAATACCAGTCACCAAAACCAATTAGCACTGCACCCAGACACCTGCACCAGCAGCCCCAGCAAGAACAGCTCTGACTTCACTTCTTACCTGTCACGGCCATCCTGACACTGGAAACAAATTCTCTCATGGAGCTTCACATCCTCTCACACATCCTTGCTCTTTACCATCTTAAGGAATTATGCACCTTATTTTCCCCCTCAAGAAAGATTTTGGTGCCCCCTTTATTTCACAAAATAATCGGAAAAATACTCAAAATGGACATAGCTTGAAGAGTCAAAATGTGGCAGTTCATTTTCTTAATGGGCTTGTCTGTTTGATGGCATAAAAAACAATTTATGGGTCAACAATACTAAGGTTTTAAGCTGCACCCTCTCCCGTTTTTTTTAAGTTAAAGGAAAATGCTTGATGACATTCATGACTAGACAAGAAAAGAAAATCCCTAACTAGTCTCAGCCAAATTACAGACTTGAGGAAAACCTAAACAGCATCTGAACAACTATGAACTGAAGTCTTTCCAGTTTATAAAGTTCTATTTTGTTCCTGTCTCTTTTAACCGACTATTTATTTTCTGTGTAGTTCTAATAAAAATAACCCCTTATAGTCTGCATTTTCATTCCACCATTTCTTAAAAAAGTATTTTGACACATTTAAAACACCTTTAAAAATACACTAAATCTGGTTAGGGTTAGGGCTAGGGTACCCTAACACTGGAAGTGGAATGGGTTGGGCTGCTGTCATTGTAGGCAATCAAAGTTCATCAAAATATTATGCATATGAGTGCACATACTGGGTTAGGGTTACTGAAAATGAATTGAAGGACAATTCTCCCTACTGTCTGTATGTTATTCAAGTAACTGGAGTAAATTCTCTCCTCATGTAATTGATAGATTTCTGCTCTTTTAAATTGTCTGGGAAAATTTGCCTTATGCTTTCCTCAGCAGTGGAAGACAATTCAAAGTAGTTTAAGAACGATGAATGAGGACAAACTATGGTTTTCTTTTCTATTCATAAAACTGTACCAATGGAATAGCAGGCAGGCATTTAAATTGCCACTGGAGCTTAAAGCACCCACCCCAGCTCATGTATTTTTTAGGAATCTGACATGTACTAAGCTATTTTAGAGTACACCCTGCATTTAAAAGTTAAGTTATGTTACTAGAGCCTCAAGTAAATTAGAGAACACCATGCTCCTAGGTTAAAACGATGTACCATCAACATCTAGTTAGTACTACCAGTAATATGCAAAGACTGAATTTGATTTTCAGTATGTACGTGATCTGACTAGAAAATTTATTTAACAGCACAAGCAGAAAAACATTATTGTAGTCACGCCTCCATTCCTATGCAGAACTGGAGATAAACTATCTGCTATCTGAAGAATGCAACGTTGCTTCAACAGCAAGTAAAATTGCTTTAGAAAGCATCATCTGTTAAAGGTAATTTAAATGTAAACAATTTATTTTTCCCAAAATTTATCTGCTTTTGTACTGTGAGGTTGTATTTTGATGATTTATGTAACAATGTGACCTAAACAGTGGTAGTCATTTTTTTCTCCCCCCCCCCAAAAAAAACCCACTTTAGATTTGAGCATATGAACATGCACACTCGGAGACCTTGCTCCAAATATAGTCAGAGAGCGGAATTACAGTTCTTACCAATACCACAAATGCTTCAGTCAAGATTTATTCCTACACCAACAGGAATTTGCTGGGTGCGTCAGCAGCTCATCTCTCCAACACCTCACACCACCACCGTGAGGAAATTCAGGAACTTGGCCAGGCACTCCTAGAAAAGCAATACAGCCTCCCTTGCTGTATCTATGGATGTGGATGTTACAATCACGTATGAAAAGTAAATTTTAAGCATGCAGTATCAGAGCAGGTTAGCACAAATTCCTTCCCACAAATCTCTGATGCACAGCCAAGTCTGCAAGATTCCTCTATCACTCATCCCCTAAGCCAAGGCCAAGGTGTTTCAGCTTTGGTTTTAAGTATCAAAGATTAAGAACCAAACAAAAGGACCTCTGCTTCTTGAAGACTTTCAGTCAAAACTGCTGTTCCAACCAGAATCTAGTGCTCCAGTATTAATTACAGACAAGAGGCACGAGCCACTTCTTTACTGTGCGGTGTCTACAATCAGCTGTTACTGCAAGGAACAAGGAAAGCAAGTCCAAATCACCCAGTGTCACTCAGCTCTACAGCAACTGAGAGCTGAACACCCCCAAAACTTGTGGCTCTGTGCATCTCCTGGAGTACCCTCATTTTGAATATTACAGAGTATTTTGACTTCTTTCCCTTGTAAAAAATGCAGTAAAACAAATAAATAAAGGGCAGGAGGACAAGCCTATAGAGCAGACTGGCATAATGTGAGCTTGAAGGTGAATTTTAACTACTAGAAAAGCAAAATGGCAAATATACAGGTTTAGGTCTCTAAAATCACATACATGATGGCAAGGAAAACACATCACAAAGTAGCAAGTTCAAGTGATCAGGCAGAGGTTATAAAAGAAATATGCTTTTACAGATACTCTATAGTAAAACACTGTACTGCTGGCACAGGATGCTGCAGAATAAATGTTACATGTTTTCCCATGTATTGTTTTAATTTATTTCCATTTATTAAAGGTGTAATTAACAAACTTTTTAACTAGGCCAGAAAGTCTCAAACATTATGGGTTAATAAAATATGTGCTATTAAACCCATAACATATTAAGGGAAGTATTACTGTAGATATATTAAATAAGCTTGTACAAATAAACCATTATGGAGTATAGATTCCTTTCAATAATGTACATAAGGAGTTATCAAAGAAGCATAAGAATTAGCAGAATTCTCTTTAGAAAACATTCTTTCAAATTAAGCTTTTGTGGATTTAACACACTGCCAAAATGCACACATCATTTTGAAAATGAGACGTGCGTTGGGCAAAAACCCAACAGTTTAAACATATAACACATGATGCTACCAAAGTATTTTTAGCTGTGCCTTAACAAGACAGAAATCTTATTTTTTCTGCAATATAAATTTATTTTCTATGAAAATGTTTTTGACTGAAAACATTTTATTACATGAAAGATTGCAGAAATAAATTCTGTCAAATACAGAAAAAAATAAAATAGACATTTTTCTTAGAAAAATGCTGTGAGAAGATTTATGCAAAACTGATCTATTTCCTTAGGAATGATTCTACTTTCTGTTATAAAACAGCTCAAATGTATTTCTTATGCTTTATACAAGAAATATGATTTACAAATGAAATGTGAAAGTTCTCTTTTGTCCAACACTCGTGTTCATTTCCCAAATAAAAAAGAAATTTTGTCATAGAGCTACAACTGCATCATCTGCAACTACCACCTTTTTCCTACTGACCATGCCCCCACACTGTTTGCTATTTCAATCCTGAAGACTTTGTAAATTTTTCTGTAACTTACTGTTGAGAATTCTTCTTACCCAGACAATTTTGATTCATTTCTCATGAAATCAAGATTCAGCAAGTTGTACGCCATGACTCCAGACAGAACAGTTTCATATCATGAAGTGCTGCAGCAACTGAGGGGTGGTTTTTTTGAACTCTGCTTTCAAAAAAACTTGAGCACTTCAAAACATGTAAAAAGATTTGAAACATCCCATTTTGCTTTCTTGTTTTTTATATACTGGAAAAGAGCTTCCTTAAATGTTCCTGCTGTAGGGATAGAGTTGAAGACTGAGACTTGGAAATCAAAGTCACAACTGAAAAATAAAAACCAAACCAACCCTTTGTTCCAAAAACATCACAAGTGTAACTAGCTCAGGATGTCACAATATTAAAAAACATTGTGAAAAGTAACAGAACAAGCTGACACACTTTCACATGTGACATTTAAAACAGCAACATTGTGTTTTCAATTTTTAAGTCTTGAAGAAAAAAAATCAACTGAGGATTTCCTGAAAATTTTGGTCTAAAGGCTTTCATGTTTGTGAGGTTGAAAGAACATGCAGATATAGGATGCCTGTTTGAAAATTTTATCGTTTTCTCATGTAACATTCACATTTGTAGTCTGAAATTTGTACAATACCATCCCAGCCTCAGCATCTGGCTTTCAATTTACAAGGAGTTAAAAACCAAAGTTTTTTAGATTGCAAAGTTACAATTAAAAATACTTGAAACTAAGTGACAGAACACCCAATTTGCTGGTATCTTACTGTTTTATTCACAAAATAAAGACCTTTGTCTTTCCAAACAAAGAACATAACAGAAAGACTCCATGAGAAACAGTTATAAAAAAGTGGTACTGAAAATTTGAAAAAAGTCTGGTAAAATTTACAAACGCAAACGATTGCTTTGTACAAAATCTCTTTTTTTGAAAGAAACTTCAGTAATAGCTTCTACAATCCAGTTCTAACAGCTCGGAATTGATTGCGAACGGCGGCTGGGCTCTATTTCCGCCGGTGCGGGGAGCTGTCCCTGCGCCTGTCGTCGCTCCTGCGGGACTCCCGGTGCTGCTCGGGGTAACGGCTGTGCTTGTCCCGCTGCCTCTCCGAACCGTTCCGGGAGCGCTCCTCCTGCTCCTCCTGCCTCGGGCTGCAGTGGCCACGCTCCCTCTCTCGGGATTTTGATCTCTCTCTTTTCCTACTGCGGTGTCCGTCGTCTTTGCTCCAGTGTCTGTAATGTTCATCATCAGACACAGAAGCTCTTCTTTCTGCTTTCTTCAGTTTTGAATTACTGTGTTTATTTTCTGGATCCTTACTTCTTTCATGGTTCCTATCCTTTCCGCTGTGGTAACCATCTCTGCCGTTGGACTCATCTCTGTGGTGGTATTTTGAAACATCATCTCTCCTGTGTGAGTCTCTCAAATGTCGGTGGTTTCTTTCTGATTTGCTCTCGGTATCGCTTCTTTCCTCTTGCTGCCTCCTTCCAATTTTCTTTTCAAGCGATTTCCTTCTCCTTTCTTGTTTTTTCCTGGAAACTTTAACAGATTCTCTATTTTTCTTTTGCATTCTCTTTCTTTTGGCTTTAGAAACATCTGAAATGATAACAAATTATGGAACTAAGATTGCATTTTAATTTAGTATATTAAACTTATTGAACTACAGAAAGAGTTCTAAAAACTGGTTTTTGCCAGAAAACATTAGTGCACATGTATCAGGACCAAGGTTCCAAAATAATGAACTCCTGAATTTTATCCCTTTGCTATCTGCAAGTGATGCCTGTCTTTTGAAAACCTCTACCTGTCATCACCCTCTTGCTGACTTGTACCCAAGGTCTAGGCTGTGAAGTCATACACCAAAACACTCTCACAAATAATCTTTTTCCTAGGAAGATGACCTTTCCCAGACTATCCAATCTCAAAATAATTTACTTTTCCTGGAAAAGCTTATCAGTCAATGGAGATGAAAAACAGCAAATGAGAAAAAACCTCCAACACTATCCCATGAGGAAAAAGAGGCAGGATGAAATGGCTTGAGATAATGATACTGCAGCAATATAACAATGGCTTTTGGTCTCATTTTTCAGGAGAAATAGTGACAGCTTTGTCAACAAGATTAAAACTAACTTCTGTATTTCTAAATACGCCGTAGTCTCATCTCAGTGGAACAGGTCTTACCCTTCCTGTTCGCTCTTAATCAGGGACCTTTGCATCCCACTCGACAGTATTTGGCACTAACAGCCATTTACAATAACCATTCACTCACCTTACTGTATGAACTATAGAATCACATCAGCTGCTTCTCATCACCTTTTGAAAATATCACAGCCATGAACTGATTTATTAGATGCATATTTATTAATATGCATTATCTGAATTGTCTACTCTCTGAACTAAGGCTTGCTGGCATTCTGTTAAAATGCAATGATGGACCAATTCAGATACATTTTAATCCATTAAGTTTTTTAAGCAGAGCTTTCCATACTATTTTACATCCACCAGTATGCAGGAAAAGACCTGAGAGAGCAAACAGAAAAGAACCAGCTGCTTTGATGGCACATATATTTTATCCTCTGCTGGACTTGTTTTAGAACTACCTCCCCAGGGCAGTGCTGAGCTGAGAGAGCTGAAGAAGTTCCAAGCATTAACAGGTAGTACAACAGGAATCTCTAACTTAGCTCAATTTCTAATAAGCAGGTTTTCTATTTTTCTTTTATACACTGCATCAACACTGAAATACTGCAGCACATTCCTCTGAAAAATGCCTCTTAACTCTTCCAAGTAATTTTATAGATTTTAAAAGCTGCAACACAGGAAGACTTTAGAATTGTAACTAGTAATGGAATCTCAACCCAGTTTGCCATTAAAGCTTACTGTTATCTCCAATTAGTGTTTTTGACCACTATATTAAAGTACACAAGAAACTGGAAAGTGAAACCAGGCTGCAAAGGTTACCAAGATACAATTTTTAATGAATGTGTTCCTCAGTGGAGAAAAGGCAAGCAGTGAAAGTCCTAAACTTTGAAAAAACCCTGCTTCTACTCGCAGACTGCAGACTTGGTTTATCACTAAGGACTGACCCCTCTGGCTCCTATCAAGGAGCTCAGCAGAGCTGCAGCTGTCTCTGCAGGACCATCTGGCTCTGTGCTGAAGCACTGCCTCCTCTGACCCCGTTTGGCTGTGCCCTCCTCTCGTGCTGTCGTCACTAATGCTATCTGCCATGACACACAGCTCCCACCTTGGACAGGAGATTGTGGTGGAGAACTGCATTTCCAAAGCAGGAGCAGTTCACACTGCTTTTATATTATTAATAATTTTCATTTCAAAGACATGTAATAAATCAAATTAACTTTGAATCAGCACACTTCCGCGATACAGGAAGTCATGCTGTGCTATCATCTGCTCCTGCTATATATACTGGGGGAGACTGCACACACTAACTCATAATAGCAACTACTTTAAACAATGCTTATGACAGTTCATGTATAATAGAAGTTTCTACATCAGCACAACAGTATGATACTAAACACTAATTATAATGCATAAAAATACAAAATAAGTTATCAGCAAAAGCTAATTCTTCCTTGGAAATTCCTCTACAGACAAGAACCTTCACTGTATCACCATACAGCTTTTCCTGAAGCAGAGGAATTAGAAACAGGGACTCAGAAGAACTGATTTCTGACTCAAGGAAGAAGCACATATTTCCAGGGAGACACAAGGAGCATCAAGCTCACTCAACTAAGCAAAGAAAAAAGGAGTTGTAGACATGAGTGTCTACAGTAAACACACAGAAAATAATTGGGAATGACTCTAATCCCTCAATCCTCCAATAAACTGAAGTAATAGTAGAGTGAAGCAGGTATCAATTGTGTGAAAAAAAATAATCTACAAACCAACGTTTCTCAGATATTTAAGTCTCTAAAAATTGAACTAATTTTTTTTATTTCAAATTCAAAAATAAATTTCCATGAGAAATATTTAATATTTTAAAACTTTAAATTAAAAAAAATTATTAGTTTTTAAAACAGAGAAATGACCACTGTCTATAGCCAGATTTTCCTCAAAACAAGTATAGACAGAAACAGTAATAACATATCTGGATAAAGAAATAAAAGAGAAGTGAATAGTTGTACTACTGGTGTTTAAATACCTGAGTCGCTGCTGCTGTCACTGCTGGATGAGGAGTCACTGCTGCTGGATGACTCTGAACTACTACTGCTGCTGTCAGAATCAGAATCTGAGGAAGAGTCTGTGTCTGAAGATGAAGAGGAATCTGATGACTCAACATTTTGCTTCTGTGTCATAATCAACTTTGGTGCATTTTTAAGATGTTCCCGTAATTCATCCCTAATTAGCCAAAAAAAAAAATAAAAAAATCTTTAATTTTATTTTTTTGTTCGTGGGGAGAGTGAAAATGAAGAAAGTAAATATCAAATGAGAAAAGTGTTCCTCACGTTAGTCCTCCAAGGCCGATAGAAGTGAAGAAATTGATGGCAAAGCGAGTGTTTCTTGGGTTATCCCGAGGCAATAATCCCTCAAAGAAAGGCTGCAGTGTCCTGATGGAAACAAGTATCTGTATTAAATACCATGCCAGCTCAGCACTCTCACTTACATAAACAAACCAAAAAAGAAACTGTATGCATCTCCAAAAGAAAGCAAATGCATGTCTTCGTGTATTTTTCAGCACTTTCATTGTTTGTACCTGTGATGCATCTAATGAAATGCTATTTAAAAACTTGCTCTTTTATGACAACATGAATCTCATACACAGGAGAGATGCATATGTACTGACAGATAATGACAACAGAAACCCCAACTTTGTGAAACCCTGAAGTGACTCGTGGAACTGCAGCAGCCTGGGGTAGCAAAGGATAACAGCTGCTGACCAAGAAGTTCAGAGATTAGAGATCAATGCTGAAATCCCCTCATACAGGGCCTTAGGGACAGTTTCAAATTGAAGTTTACGTGAGCTAAAGCATCTACCAAATTCTTTATTGAACACAAAAGAAATCCCAACTCAGAAGAAATAGCTCAAGCAACTGCAAATAACATTGTCAGAATGCAATGCATTAAATCCCATGCAGATTTAAAAGAATGTTATTTATACTACATTTAAGGATTAGTAAGTAATCCTAGAGAAACTGTTACTAATAGTTGTGTGTTTTTTTTAAGTTTTGTCAGAAAGAGAAGCCCCAGTAACATTTATTATGCAGCCATATAGCTGACAATATATAAAAATAAACTCACACTTGGAAATTGTTACGGTAGCTGAGTGCCACTGCGGGGTGGAGGGGGAACAGATACATCTTGCAAAGAGTCATGCATGTACCAAAATTTTGAACCCAAAATGACAGCAGTGCACTCAGCTTCAGAAGTGACTCCTTGCAATGACTGAATCTATACATGAACTTATTCTTGAAGTAGTGCAGCTACAGAAGGGCAGTCTCACTTGAACCTGAACAGAGTTCTTATCTGTACATTTTCAGACGAAGAACCTAATTAAATTTACAGTTTTGGAAATAAAGTTTCAACTTACTCATCTTTTAATCTTGCATTTAAATTAGGAAGTCCCATATATTCACTGAGTTCCTGAAAGAATATTTTGACAAAAATTCTACTGGAGGATGTGGTAGTTTCTTCACTCAGTATAATACATTCAAGGACCTGAAAATATTCAGAAAAGCATTAACCTTTAAGTTCAAACATACATTCTTTTCCTATCATAAAAACTTCTGTCCTCCTGAAATAATGAATAAAGACTGTTGTTTTTTTCCCCCCTAATTTCATAAATTCTAGTCAAGACCATCTTTCTCAAAAATTCTTTTCTACCACCTGGGAGCAGCTGCTGATCATATTTATGCTAGTAATTCTTTAAGGATTCTTTTTATCTAGGAAAGCTCCACAAGACAAAATCAGATGCGTGAACTTCTGGCAAGTTAAAAGATTTGGGACTTAAATACAGGAGAGGTAAAATATTTGGACTGACTCATGTGTGCTTGAAGAACGACAGACTAGGCTATGAAACAAGAATAAAACAATATGAAAAGAAGTTAACTTGATATTTATTTCTTAATTTTTAGTGTTTATAATAACATCTCATACAGTGAGATTGCTTTTATTTACTAGGTATTTAAAACATAAAATGGCAGTATTTCTAACTGCCTCATAGTTCAATACTACTAATTTAGCAAAATTTAGAAGCTCAAAACACTTTTCCAAAAGAAGTACTTTTTAAACAACCAATTCCAGCTGAACTCCCTAAAAAAATAGTTTAAATCAACTACTGAAAAATGGGGAGAGAGGATGATGATACACAAGAGGGAGAAAGAGGAGATGGGACAAAACATAATTTTTCAACCTGAGAATTTACTTAAGATAATCCAGTTTGCCACAAGTCATTACAAAGTGTAGAATAATACTAGAATTGATGTATTATATGTTACTGTGGAGCTATGTTTTAATATTATATGTTACTGTTACTGTGGAGTACTGGAGATTAACTGCTGAACAAGAGATCGAGGACAACAGCTTTTTGTTTTAACTTACACTCCAAGGAATTGAATCCGTGTACAGGAGATGAGCAAACATCTTGGCCACATTCCTCAGTTTGTTCGTTTCCAAACGATGAATGGTATCGTACTGTTCCTTGAAAATGGCTTCAAAGGATTCCATATATTCTTTCTTTAACATGCAGAAACGCTGAGACAATATGACACAATTTAGACAATCACTTTAAACGAAACACTAAACATACAAATGACCTACAATTAGGTGGCCTAATGGTGTCAATATTTACTGCAAGATTTCATTTTTAAATAACCCTTGAAGGAAGAGCAAACACTCAGTATGTTGATATATATCAATATATTGATATATTTTATAGCTTTGAGCAGTTTTTTAGGACAAGAAACTCATTTGCATTGCAAAGCAGTAATTATCAATTCTGAACTACAGCAAATTATAAAGCATTTTGGTTGACTTCTGTACATCAAATATTTTCACCTGACACCACCCTGTATTTTTTCAAGACATCATTGAACCACTGTTTCAATTGAGAGAGGCAGTAGGAAACAGAAGTAAGACATTTTGGACATAAACATTTCAGAGAATATGGAAATCAACATTTACATTTGTCTGAACATGCAGCTTCATATGGTTAGCGCTTTGTAACTGACTGTCAGCAAAAGGATTTCCTGAAATAATGGATGAAAAACACAATTGAGAAGAAGCATTCCCTTTCAGTAAAGCTTGCTCCCTTCAGAAGATAAGTATTTCACCTTGACTCTTCAGATATGGCAATATTATCGATAGGGAAACCCTAAGTAAGAAGTAACTGCAGCTAAATTAGCAGATAGTTAGACAAAATCAGAGAGTTGGCTGTTTATTGAAGAGCAAACAAAACACCCACAAGCCCAGGACAGTAAGTATTCAATCTTGTGCTCTAAATTAAACCTACTAAGCGGCTTTGGACAAGGTGGTAAATGACAAGAGTCTCCAAGATTAATCTTCAGCACTGTAAAAAGGCTATTTTCTGGTAGCTCATAATACTATTATGTCTTTTTAGTACCATTTCTTTGCCACTGATTTATTGCTCTACCATATTGAGAAAAAAATTAAGGCAAAATAAGCAACAATATAAAGGGAAAGTGAGTTCTCTCATTCTGCATTCACTATGCTTTTTACAATCTAAGTGCTAATTCAGTCCACTAAAACAATTAATTAACATAAGCATTTTCAGAATGATAAAAAGACTATTAGTTTTATTTATCCATTAAACTTAAGTTTGACACACAAACAATAGAGTAAACCAATGAAATTTTCTATCATATAGTATAAAATGTGAAACAGAACTCACCCCAGCCAGTAACCCGAAGAATTTCTCGTATGTTCTTTGCTGAGCACAGCAGTCAAGTATCATATTGCAGAGTTCTTTCTGGGTTATAAAATAAGAGGATTTCTCTAGTTAAATTCACTGTAGCAGTAAAAAACCCATAGTACATACCAAGTAACTGAAGTAATTTGGATGGATCTGAGCTTTGAAATGAGCATTTACATCAAACTTCATTGGCAACACCAGTAGTTTTCTTAATTTCTCCTGGATATCAATATGAAATTTTGCCCTTCAAATTTCCTCTTCTGCCTAAGCTAAGATTCATGTGTTAACACAATGTACATCTAACCAAAAAAAGTCAGAACTCATTACCACAATGAAAAAAGAAGTTATAAGATAAAAAATGAAGGTTTTGAGGGCTTTTTTCGTAGTTTTCTTTTAATTTGTCAGTCACTTCTTTTTTGTGATATTCTGTTTAGGGGTTCACTGCAATGGCTTCAGCCCGGAGGGAATGCTTAGAAGGACTAAACTCACTTTTGAGAAGCCAATATGCCTGGACTTCCTCTTTAACCAAGAGAAGCTTTTCTAAATCAGCTGTTTTAGGCTGAATTCTGAATCACCCTTTATAGAAGAGCATCTCCCTTTCTTGGCTAGGAATGAACAGAGGAAGCCTGGCTAGATTAGTCTCCCAAAACATTTGTGCATCCCTCATCATTGGCAGCCTGCCTTCCACTTTCCTGCCTCCTTGGTGAACATGGATGGAAGAAGAGAAGATGCTCTCCTGTTCCATAATGCCAACTATGTAGGACAGGTAGGTCAGTCTTTCTGGAATACAAAACAGTCTTTCTGGAGCACATTCTGGTGCTCTCTCTGGCACCCTTCCTCCTTGTCTTCCAACACCATCACCCCATGATTATTATCAGATCAACTTCTGGTAGCTGTCTCTTCCTCTCCTTTCACACACAGCAAACAGGAACCAGAGGGAAACACTTTGTACCTCACCTGTTGGGCCAGAGCCCTTCACCTGAGGCTGAGAGCAGAAGTCCTGGCAAGTGAGACCATGCAGGTTTAAAACCAAACTTATTCCCCTGACCTGCCTGAGATACAGCTTGTAACGCGGCTGTGAATTGATTTAGGGTACATTTGGCAACATTAATTGAGACAAGTGAGCAAATGTTTTTATATAAATTAAAAGACATGAAATTACACAATGCTTAAAATAGCCCTGCAGTTTTTACCCATTCACCTTTTTTATTACTATTTTCTCCTAAGACAAATTCCATAGTGTAATCTAATTTATGACACTCCCAAATAGGTTTCTGGCTGCCAGTCATGTATCTTTCATTATTAGTTTAATTTCTCTTTTAACAAAAAGTAACATTCCTATAAAAACTACTGAATGATTTCAAGCATTTTGTTCTCTTTCACCAATTTACTGTATCATACACTGGATTTCATATTCTCCCACTTGTGTCATTCTTCCAAGCAAGTATCCAGAAGAAACGTTTTTGCCCATCATAAAAGCTCAAAACAAAGAAAAAGCCAACCATGCTGAACAAGAAAAGAAACCACTCCTCCAAATAACAAAGCAGTAATGTACCAAATAAACTTAGAGATGTGTTTAAAGGCTTTCCTTTTAACACTGTCACACTGTGTTAATGTGATGTATTAAAATGCATATTAACTTTTTATATTATCCCATTTTACACTAATGCTGCAGTTAATCAGTTTTTAACAATAAAAAGGGTAAAGCGCTGATGCCACCGTTAATAATGTCAGGAAGACTTGAAAAACAAATTACTTTTCTTCCTCATCTTAAATGCAATTATAGCTTTGGTATCCCCCTGTGGTTTACAGTAATTAAATATTTTAACATTTTAATTAAATATTACAATGATTTCTAGGAGGGTATCTTGAATACCACATGCATGAAAATAGGTTCACCCATAAAGACATTCTTGCTGGTGTTATCTAAACAATTTGAGGTTAGGTCTAGAGTAACTGTCTTCCAAATGTAAAATTAACAAACTTTAAAATTATTTAATTACTTTTTGAGTGATGCAACAAGCTCAGATGGCAATTCTAGCTTAATTTACAGCTTCAAAAGTTAGTGAACTAATTTCTGTACTCCCAATGATGTTTATGGCATGAAGAGCCTGTTACTTAGCCTATCACTTGTTTTGAAGGCCACAAAGAATTTGTTCCCCAATTTTACAGGCAATTTCCATATTGCGTTGTTTAAGTGTTTTCCTGCAATGCTCAACAAGTAATTACTCAGCTTAGTTAAGAAAGTATACATAGCTATCCAAACATGAAGTAAAACACTTCAAAATATCTGACATCTCATATAGATGGAGAACCATCTTTTGTGAAAATCTTGAATTTATTATTGTATCATAGAGAACAACAGCACTTCCCAAAACTGCTAAGACAGAAGATAAGGAGAAAGCTCTCTCCAAATGCACTGCATTTCTCACTGTTCTCCCTAAACAGTCTCTATTTACTCTTACCCAAACAGAAAAATGGCTTAGATGAACCATGACTCAACCTAACATGGCAAGTTTCATCATACATTTAAAGATGCTAAAGGAAAAGACAGAAAAATCAGACTTGTTTTGTTTTTTTCTCCCAGTTTTACCATTTCAAAACACAAGCACACCCTGCCCAGTATATCTTCTCTCAGCTTCACACAAAGGCTGTGTTCATGGCAGGCAGAAGAGATAAAGTAACTTATCCCCTTCTGATCACAGGTTCCTTTTCACAGCTAGTACTTATCCCCTGCCCCTTCTCCCCTCATTTTTTCAATTTCTTTAAATAAACATTCAGCCAAGACTGAAGTTTCAGAGCTGCCCCCCAGGCTATCTCCATGTGGAGGTCACTTCTGCCCTCCTTGACTGGAAGACACTTAATTTCTATAAGTTTCTTCACAGAACTAGAAGAATTGGTGTGCCAGAAGCAAACATAGTTCAGGCCTTAGGTTCATTTAAATCAATGTGAAATTGGAATTATGTGAAACGAGCGCCTTGCATCTTATGTATTTTTACTGCTTCAGATGCCACACTTTTCCTTTTTTCCCTCTTAATTCACTGAAGCGTATTTTACTCCCACTGACTACCTCGAAGCTTTCCTTACTGCTGCACATTTTAATGGGTGCAACCATCACACAGCCTACTTTTCTCAGCATCTCTGCTTTCTCTTCCTCATTTGTTAAGTTACCACTTAGAGCCAAAGCTGGCAAAGCCATGGATGGCATTTCAGCAGCAGGCAGCCCCTGCTCAAACTATGTGCAGTGCTTTTAGCAGCTACTACAAAGTCTCCACAAGTCTGTCCTGTGCTTAGCTAATGGTCTTCCTCAACTTTTATCCCTTTTTTTTGCTCAACTCCCTTCTCTTTAGAGAAATATATGCTTAAAGCTGAATACGGTTATCACAAATCTTGCGTAAATCAGACTTAATATTTTACATTGGAATCATTAACTGAATATAAGGATAGATATATTTTTAATCGTGCTGCTACAAAGTCTCCAACACACAAACACACGCAAAAATGAAATAATACATCAGAGTCCCACAGTATCTCTTTCCTTCTACCTGAAGGCTGCAGATGCAAAACTTCACTTTAAGTGACTTCACTCTGAGCAATTCCACCTTCTTAGGTTAAATGCATACACACATCTGTGGAAGATCTAGTCAGAATTCTAGCTAATGCCTGTGATCAGTAACACAACAGCCTAATTCTGTATGGATTCTGTACCTTCATTTTACAGACATCAACAAACACCATGACACGGTATGTGCATGCAAAGTACTTTTTTAAAAAAAATGATAAATCATGGAAATTCAGAATGATTCTGCACCTCAGGCCCACAAAAACCTCTTGCTTCAAAAGACAGAAAAGCTACTTAAGCGGGATTGTCTTTTATAGACAGTAGTAAGGCTGTGAACAAATCATGGTGTGGTTGCTAAACTTACCAGCAGCAATGCCCTCCAATTAGAAAAGAAACTCATGTATCTAAGAATTCATCAATTTGACCAGCAGGTAATTATCAGCCTTAGACCATCCTGCTCTGCATCAGTTTCCTGAACTATATTTTCACTGAAAGTGAAAATAGTCTAGTCAACATAAGTACTTGTGTTATCTTCAAGACTTAAGGCATAAATAACACGAGACACTCCACTCCCACACCACCAACTAGGACTGCTTTGAGCAAGTGACACCACCCCATAAAAATGAAGATGCGTCAGAACTATGCATGCATAATTCTTTCAAGAAGGCTGTGCCTGCAAGAATTTTTCTCATTTCAAGTAAAAAAAAAAAAATTTAAAAAAAAAATCTGGTGATGCATTGCCTTTATCTGGAATATGCACAGTGTCAGAAGATACTCTAATTTAATTTAGCAACATTTCTGTATACAAGTTTAGTTCTTATCACAGGCCAAGAAAGAAGAAAAGCCTAAAAGTCAATCCATTTTAGGCACGTTTTTAAAGAGCAAGAACAATGTACGGTTGGTTTAATTTTTTAGTTGTCTGCATTTTAGCCAGGCTTGTTTGCTTGCTTTCCCCACAGTTCAGAAGCCAGAACAACTGGTAATACCACACTCCTCTAACTACAGTTTTAATTTATCTAAATTTTCTTCTTTGGTAATACAGAGGATTAATACAGCTTTAACACAGATAATAACAGTACTTTTCAAAAAGAGTAAAATAGTGAGCTCTGCCAAGACTGAACATATGCCCAAAGAAGCAATTGCAAGGCTTGTTTAGAACAGCTTTGCACAGACTGCGGTACAGACAGCAAAGCTATTTCACTTTTGATCTGTAGGCTTCAATTGGGTCTAAATATGAATAAAAGCAAACCCACTCCTAGTAAATTTAGTTAGAAATGAAAACATTTCAACACTTTAAGTGTTTTTCTGAAAAAAAATAAAATAATAAAAAAATCTGAGAAGTGCTGACATCCCTTCTCAGCAGCTGGTCCTAAACTGCAATGCCAAAAAGCAGTATTATGTTGTTCCAGTCCACAGATTATCCATCTGAACCTTAATCCTCTTTCTGCAAGTCAGAGCTGTGTGATAGATCCATTACTGGTATTAAACAGACAAACAACCTGTGTTGCACAGTAGTTAATGTGACACAACGATCTGATAATTCATCCATTGGTAAAAACTGCTAATGTATTTCTGAACTCAGCCCTGATATATCACACCAAAAGTTTCTACACATGAAGATTTCTGGAAGAGTTATTCCAAAGATGGTCATTAGGACTGTGTTAGTCTCAAACATGTTTTTGCATCTGTCTTTAGGTTTCAAATATTCTGATTAGTTTTTTGCCTGTATTTAATTGGGAATGTACTACTCAAAGCTTGTGGGAAACAGTCTTAATGTCAAAATTAAATAAATACTGTTTTATTAAATAAATCCTTTCAGAAGAAAAGCAGAAAATTACTGTAAAATCAGATTTGATTTGAAAAAAATTTGCAACAAGAATCTTAAGTTTCATCTTATCTTTAAGGAACACTTCAGCTAAATGCTCTAGTTCCTGCTTCTCGTGATGACTGCCATTCATAGTAGGAGTTGGAATAGAGAATGAGCATAAACAAAATTTGCAGGTTCACCCAAGAGTTCAGCAAGCATTTCAGGAATTTCTCAAGACTGTTTAAAGCTTTGAATCAGAAAGTGTGAAGAAATAAGACACACAACATCCTGCAATACAGATTGTTGAAGGTTTAAGTAAAACACTGAAAAAGAAAGAAGTGCCTTATGGCTAAAATAACAGTGGTAGAAAATTATAAAGGTTGAAAATACCTCCAAGATCAAATCCAACCGAAAACCCAATGCCATCTTGTTCGCCATTAAACCATATCCACCCATCTTTTGATCTCTTCCAGGGATGCTGATTCCACCACTTCCCTGGGCAACCTGTTTCAACAACTGACCACCCTTTCAGTCAAGAAATTGTTCCTAGTATTTCATTTAAACCTCACCTGGTGCAACCTGAGGCCATTTCCTCTGGTCCTGTCACTTATTATCTGTGAGAAAAGACCAACCCCCAGTGGCTATACCCTCCTTTTGGGTACTTGCAGAGCGATAAATTCCCCTTTAAGCCACCTCTTCTCCAGAATGAACAAGCCCAGCTCCCTCAGGCACACACAGCACTGCAGGTGTGGCCGCACGGTCCCAAGTACTGGATGAAGAACAGTTTCCATTACTTGAAAACACAGCAATTACTTTGATCTTATGGAGTCTGAGGACAAAACACCTTTAGTCTTATGATCTCCAAAATTACAGCAAACAATCACACAAAACTGCTTTAATTCAATACCCTGTTTATTCAAAGATTCACTTTGAAAGCACCAAAAAACCGCACTCATAGCACTGTGCTAAATTTCAAGCCCCACTGATAAAATATCTACAGCTGCCTGCAAATACTACCGTCAGCCCGGAGTCCTTTCAGAAACAGAACTCTGTCATGCTGCTGTATTCTCACCATAGGACAAAAGTTTCACCAGTCTGAACAACAGAGCCTTTTAACAGGCTGTGAGTGAACATTTGTGCTGCTGGACAGAAAGGAGCACATGCATAAGACAAATTGTTTGTGAAATGTGTGTCAGTCCATTGCTCTAAAGGTTGTGAAATTAATTTTGAGGAACAACAGCTGTAAGGAATGACTCTCATTCATCTGCCTGCTATACAAACCAGGCTGTAATATGAGCATGGTTTTTAGATACTATCATAGTAGTGTATCTTAATAATGTTAGTAACAAGAAGAGTAAGAATAAAGGCTTACAGTCTGACTTTCAGGGAAGTCCATCTTCAGCAGTTTGTGAGCACATTCTTCAAAGTCTAAGCTGAAGAGAAAAAACAATAATCTGTGCAATATACGCTATGCTATATATGAAACATTCCAAAACTATATTAAGATTGACCATTGATGCTAAAACCTCAACTGTTTTGAAGTAAAGTACCTCAGCTATTTGATCTACCGAGACTTTATTGTTGCTGTGGGCTTTTTAATAAACATTTGTATTGCATGAGTTTCTATCTGAAAATTAATCCAAAGTGATTATATTTGCAGGCAATCTGAAAACAAGATGATCCAAGTCATTACTACTATCATATCACATCATCTTACAAAACCTAATGAAAGAGAAAAGTGGGAGCTTGTTTTGCACATTTTGAAACACTGAAATGTAAGCAATTCAGACAAGCTCCAAAAGCAATATGTATCACAGACTCCTCTTTGCACTCCTGTTCTGAAAGCCTTTAGCTACCACTGGATAAGTCCTCCCTCAATGTAAAAGATTAACAGGTTTGAGTATGGCAAGAAAAGTATTTAACTTTGAGAAATGTGAGAGCCTTTGATACCCTCAGTATGGTATTAATTCACACGGCTAACGATCACCACCACAAGTACATCATAGCATTCCTCATGGAGCATCAGACCTGAATAGAAGCTGCAAGGGATCAATCCCTCCTCTCAGCTTGTTGACATGGAAGCTACATCTAGTAGGTTTGGAGTATTTGTGCCACAGACTGCAGTGGGAGTTCATTCTCAAGATGACCACAAATAGACTATAGCTCAGGGCTGGGAACTGCATATTTATTTTCCAAACTATGCAGATGGCAAAAGAACTCCTTCATCTCAAAAGTGGAGACAAACTAATTAGGATTTCTAAGTGTGTCTCAATTTTTTTTCATAAAAATCTCAAGATACTGTAGAACTTGGAAGATCACTGACTTCTGTTCATTCAGAAAGTTCTCATTAGAGCAATAGTCCCAGTCCACTACCCAAACATTTTGAAACAAACAAGATTCATTTTAGAATGAGAATTTGACTGCTTTACACAGTCAGGTCAGACTCCACAAGGACCACTTCCCTACTTTTTTTCTTTTTTTAATCTTTTCAACTGCACATTAAGACAGAATTTTAAAAGAAAGAGAATTATACTTCACTGACTTGAAAAGAGCTACACTCCTAGGTGCATAATTTCTATTTACCTTGACTGAATAGCCAGATAAATTGTACGACGGAAGGAGACCAGGTTAATTTCTGTTTTGTCATGGACAGTAACTTTCTGACCTGGAAAACAAAAACATGGGTTTGTAAAGAGCAAAACATATGAGAATAACTGAAGAAGAAACACTGATTAACATTTGAACATCTCAGTTTTGTAAAACATCTAAGAAGTTCAGCTTCTCTTTCCTGTTTCATCTACATTCAATCAATTGCTCGTAAGGTGCCAGTCATACACTTACCATCTTCATCCTCCTCTTCATCATCATCTTCATCTTCTTCACTACTTCCAGCTTCTTGATTTCCTTCAGATTCAGTGTCACCTTCATCAAGAATTTCTGAAAGACCAGAATCCCAGATTAATGGAACATAGACCACAGTACCCCCATTACAAAAACTCCCTTGATCCAACCCCTGAAGAGTGAAAGGATGTCTCAGGTGCAGAATGTGGAAGAGGCCAAAAAGAAGATATATCATAAATGAATTAAAACATAGATGCAGAAACAACACTGAGTAGGAAGAACACAAAGGAAAGGTCTATGAACTGAATGTGTTATACAAGAGAGAAATATCACCCACTGTTGAATAAATGTTGGCAGCAACAGCTGAATAACCAAATCCCATAGGTAATGGTTGTGTATACACACAAGTATCCCTACCTTTCTTCAGCATTTTGTATTTCTCCTCATTTTCCATAAAGTTCGGATCCATCTTGAAAACATCTTTAGAATAAAAGAGAATCTTTATTTAAAACACAAACTGAAAAAGCTATTAATATTTAAGCTTGAATTTATTTTCTTGGGGGAATGCAATTAAGGAATTCTCTTAAATTTCTAACTTACTAAGAACATCCTCTGGGTTGTAGTCATCTTCCAGTGGCAACATATGAGTAAACTGATCCTCCTCTTCCACTAGATCTAGTCCCTCTGGAATGATTGGATGATCCTTGAAGCCATCTTTCCGTACAGCAAACATGACTTCTATCATGTACTGAACACGCATATCGATTTTAGATTCATGCAGAATGTGTCGAAGGCGATCAAAGATTGCTTTGGAAAAGAGACGAATGTAAATATGAAAGGTATTTACTAAATCAAATGCCAAGATAGTTTTGGCTAACTGTACTTACCATTAATACCTCTAGGAGAAACTTCTGTTAATTTGAGCCCACTCTCTTTAATAAATCCAATTGCTACTTCAATACTGTCATCAGTAGGCCTTTCAAGAAGCAAAGTGAGCATTTCCAAACATAAAACCTCATGAGCCTGTGGAAAGAGTATCAGCAAAGAATTAGAATGCACAATGTTACACCATAACCACAGTCATTTACTGGACAGACCTGTCCAGCCTTTGAGGATGCCACAACACAGCAGTTTAATCAGACATACAAGGCAGCAGTAGTGGGGCAGAGCTGATTAGGCTGAAGTCAAAATTTCAAATCCAGTTTTACCATCGGTATTTACATCAGTTTTCTAGTGAATGTGACCGTTTCATTGGAATGAGCAGGCAAGAAATGAAAAATATTTTGCCATTAAAAAAATAATAGACTGCACTTCCAAGAAGCAAATAAACCAGCACTTGCATTACAGAACCCAGTTCAAAGTGCATTGTCTCTATGATTAAATGAGATCTTCCAGGATCAGGCATATTAGCAAACAGCACATCTCAGATTAATTTCCACTTTACCAAAATGCTGAACATTCCCAACATATTTGTGAGACACTGCTTCTTGACATTATTTAAATCAGAGCATCCTGATTTCTGACATATAAACAAGTGGAATAGGGCTGGATACAAATTTGATTTAGATGCAACTGAGTCTACTTCTGCTAAGACACATGTTGCACAAAACTCTGTTTAAGATCTATAGGACAGAGGCTCAAATGATCCTTGCTTTGCATTAAGATGTGGCTGAATATTAGCCCAAACACACACATGAAATTTGGGGAAGCTCTGGAGCGTAAGTGTAATAATAAGCGGTGATAACTGTGGAAGCAATTACCAGTATCTTTTCAAAAGACATCTTAAAGCAGGCACCACACTCAGGCTTTCAGCAACTTTCAGAACAGACAGAGAATCTTCACTTAGGCTACTGCTGTCTTAAACTAAAAATTAGCTATATAGGGTTTGAATTGAGTAGAAATAAAGAAACCTACCACATTCTGATTCATCAAATGTGCAACAAATTTTGAAGATGTTAGACAGAGTTGCTGCAAAAGAAATAAACCAGGAAATTTTAACATATGGAAGAAAAAATTCCTAACCCAGACATACTATAGATAAATGCATCTCACCAAAAAATTAGAGTCTATTTAAGTATTCTGGTAGCTGTTCACAATCAGGACTGTACAGACAACAGTAAAAAATTAGAATTAAACATGCCTGCCCAAATCAGAAGACCCCAAACTATCACAGTATCAATCCAGAATAGGTTGTCAAACTTTCATGATACTCTAGTACTACTAAATGTCCCATAAACTGATCTCAATCCATGTCTTGGCTGTGCTCCTTTGAACACACTTGACACAGTTATACTTCAGAATTCCACATTTCAGCACGTTGCTCCTACATGTTACATACCTTGTCATTTCTGCGATACCCTTTACGAAAATTCAGTATCAGCCTCTTGAGGATCAATTCACCAATATTTGGAAACTTTGAATTGATAATTGCCACAAGAGCTGCATAAACGTGAGTAAAAATCGGAGAGGCGCTCTGAGCTTGCAAAATGGATCTGGACAGCAATCCCCTGTAAAAATAAATAAGTTTTAAAAAATTTTCCAGTCATAAAGCTTGTAATGTTTTTATTCAGTACTTACCACATGAAATAGTGTTGGGCAGTTGGAATAGCTGGAAGAAACCAGATGATCATTTTCAAACCATGGTTTATCATGCCACAAGTGGAATTTTGCAAAATGTTGCACAAATCTGTCTGAACTGAAAAGTTCTTAAACTGTTACCTAATCTTTCACTAAATATTGTTCATATTAGAGCAACGTTTAAAAATGCTAGGCATGCAAAAAGACATCTTGTATCCTGCAATTATGCCTTTTTTAATCTGAACTTTGTCTGATTGTAAAATACTACTTAGAGCCTAAATGAATGTAAACAAAGGACTCATGAGCTAATATTTCTTTTCGTATTCAAATGATCTCTTTTACATTTATTATCAAGAAAGTCTGAAAAGAATCTGTGACCTGCTTCCCCTCCTCTCAGTTTTGTTTTTTGTAATGCTTAGGAACACACAGAATTTGACTTTTGCTGTATTACTTGACTACATGTGGGTGAGGATAAAAACAAAAGAAACCTCCAAATGTGAATCTTCAAAGCACACACTGATATCCAAATTTGTCTTCCTTGTGGTCTATTGAAATCCTAAAAAAGAACCCTCCTACTGAGTACTAAATAAAAAATGCATAAGGACCTTATTTCTACTTACTTTGGCACTGACAAATGGAATAGAACTCATTTCACACTAGTGCACAGAAACAGAGTATTTCCATTTTGAAATTAGTTACTGCTTGCTTACAAACTAAAAGTGTTCTGTTTCAGTTCTTATTCATCATCTATTTAAGACCTCAGAAAAGGACTTGACAGCCAGGTAAGTTTGTCATTACATTTAATGCACCTTTGTGTAAGTTTGGAAGTACAGAACCAAGGAGGGAAATGGTGCTGTTTTCCATACACATTATTTTGACATTTATAAACCACACACAAAAACTTCCAAAGACAAGTGCATTCTGAAGATATTCAATAAGCTCATTTTTAAACTAAAATAATATTGCTAGTATGAAAATTGAACTTTGGGGACATGAAATACAGGCAAGTAAAATATATATACCATCTGTTGCACTGCAATCCTTTCCCAAATAAGGGACTATGCTGAATAGGACAATAGAGCCTAAGGTTACTAAAATCTAACTAACACACTCATAGCACACACAATGACTAATGTATGAGTACCAGAAAAGTAGAATTATTTTAAAATACTAAGGCTTACCTTCCCCGAACAATATTCTCCTGAAGGAGCTCATGAATGATGTTTTCTATATTCGAAACATTCACTTTATTGACAAGACCATTGATTGACTTCTTCAAAGCTTCCCAACTCATCCTCTGGTATGCCAAGCTATTACAAAGTATCACAAATAATGTATACATTTGAAGTTGCACTGAGTAAACTTTTATATATATATGGCATTCATTCACATTTTTATTTAATCAGTAAAATGAATTTAAATTTATGCACTGCGTAACTGTGAAGACTTGTTCACAATTATAGCTTCAACCACTAGAAAATCACTGACCAAAATGATAAACCAAAGTGTAATTCTCTGCAGATATGGTATAACCCAGTATGTTGTTTCAAAAGATGTTCCAAAAACTTCCTAGCTACATTCAGTATCCTGCTTTACTTTATCATTTACACTTCACAGTAGAAGCAAGTATACTTTTAATCCAATTTTCTTATCTATCTTCTAATACAAACATACCTTCAAAACAATGATCACAACCCTTAATGGATCCCATTTTTCCCAACATTCCCTAAACACCTTAACTGTTTGGCTTGCAGAGAAAAACGTACTATGTAACTTTGAGCTCACCTATTTTTATCAGTGATTTGCTCTTGCATCATCCTGAGCTTGGCAGGTGGAATATATGCACCACCTGTGCGTGTGAGGATTGGATCCACTTCTTCTTTCTTCTTCTTTGAGGTGGTCTCTTCATGAGCAAGTGAGCTCTGGCCTGTTGACCTCTCTGGACTCCTACGGTCAGGTGATGAGTATCTTCTCTGCTTCCTCCGATCATATTCTCTGTCCTCCCATCTCTCATAGTGTCTATCTCTCCCCCTTTCCATCCTTCTAAAGAGAAAAATAAACACCCACTAAACACCCAAGTGTATATTAAAAGCTTTCACATTTTTATTCTTTGAAAGTATTTTATTACTGATTAACAAAGGGCTCCATACCTTCCATCTGAAGTTCTGTCATCATAGTAGTCTCGTCTTGAATATTCCTCATCATATCTGCTGTCATCAGAGTATCTCCTCTTCCTGGGAGATGGAGACCGAGACCTATCACGCTCCATATCTCTACTCACAACCCAAGACACAAAAACTTTTAGTAAGAGACTGAGAAAAGCAATGCTACTAATATTTACTTGCAATATAATGTAACAACGCAGAAGTGTTCCAATTCTGCAACGTGAGTTTCAAAATATGTGCTACTCCCAAGAAAAGGGTCTGCTTTAACAATAATTTATCATCAGGAAAAAATTATCAAAAATCAAAGCGGACCTGTAAAAGAAAGGTCCTAAGATTTGAAATAAGATGTTTAACAGCAATAACATCAAATACCAATGGTAAATTCAGCACTTTGCATTCCTTGGAACACAAGTATTCACTTGTTTCTGCTTATTTGTGCCTGTACAGCATGAAGCAATCTTGCCCAAAAATGATAATGTGACTTCAAGCAAAAAACTGGCATGTCATTTCCACTTTCAAGTCTCATGGTAATTTAACTAAATGCTAAGTTTTAGTAACAAATCCATTTAATTACTGTTATATTGACATTAAAGTATCTTATTAAATCTATACTAGCTTTTTTTGCTTTTAGTTATGATAATAACTAAAAAGAGGCATAACCTGATGGGTTCTTTTTACTTTCCTGACTCACTATGTGAGGTATACAGAATTGAAGGATACAAAGATCAGTCATTCTACCTGTCCTCTGGAGACAAACTTTCACGTCGGGAACTGTAGTTTTCCTTCCTTTCATGACTGGAACCATGCTTTAAGGAAAGAGAAGGAAAGAAAGAAAGAAAGAAACAAAAAAATCAAGCCCCACCACGACTGTAAGCAGCTATCTTCAGATCAAAGCATGCCATGCCTTCAGTTCCCACTCCTTTACAAGGTGGGCCACCAAATAAAGCTGATGGCAGTCAGGTATGACAAGGAGAGCTTCCTGGTTCTAGGAGCAAGCAGCAAAGCAGCTGGACACCCTGCTACAGGATGCTGCAGATGCCAAACACTTCCGTGGGTTCAAGGCACTGAAGGAAAATCCACAAGGGTTACCAAAAAACTTTATCTGGCTCAGGAAGCTGCAAACAGGTAGAGAGTGGGAATGTACGTGGGCAAGTACTTTTATAGCTGGTCTATTTCTAAACTCTTTAAGGCATTTACTGTTAATTACTGATGGAGACTAGAGTAGATGCAGAGACTAGAGCAGCTCTGCCTTTCCTGCTTTCCTCTTTCAGATGACATTTTAATTTGTTGTATCACATGCAATATCATGAACAGAATTCCACCATTTGTTTAGAGTTCCTCTCTCCTAAAAATCCCCTTCATTGAGTAGTTTTTCCTTATGTTCCCCCTTTTTACAAATCACAATTTATTTTCTCTTGAGCCATGCTTAGTTTCATACATTACAAACATCTGAGTTGCACTGGTCTACTTGGCAGGATTGTTTAAGTGATACACACTTAAACACTTTACAGCAAATTCCATGGGCTGAACTGTGACATTTAAAAGTATGGAGTCACACAAAAATCAGAATGTGAGAGCATCTACAACAAACACAGAAAGATTCATTAAGATGCTTCTAAAAAACTTTGGTAGACTCAAGCAGCAGCATTTGTAACCCGAGTACTCTCATACAAGGGTCATCTCTACTTTTAAAATACTATTTATGATTTTTTAGAACCACAATCTCATGATGTCACAGAGTGATTAACTATGAAACAGGAAATACCTCACTTGATGCAGAAACTCAACACAAGCATTTCCTTATGCACCTAGATGGAACTCCCTGCAGCAACACTCAGCTCTCGTTTGTTGAAGCAGCACACCACCTCTTGCCCCACCAAAGAGCCAGTTAAAACTCTGGCAGACCAGAATACAATGACACCTCTTCCATAGAAAGCAGGGCAGCTATTATCTCCAAAAGTTTAACTGGAAGGGTGTGTATATATGCAAACCAATAACTGTATTTTTAAGGCCACTATAACATATCCTAGAATGCTGTCTTTCCTAGGATGCACTTCAAACACTGCTAAAATTTCACCCAGTTTTCTTGCCTGCATCAAGACGATGACACAAAACAAGGGCATCACACTGTCCACTGGGAGCATGCATCCCTATTAAAGTTATGTCCAGCTGTTTAATTTTAGAGCCACATTATCTTTGACAGCACAGACAGTACAAGAAATTCACATATTCACCTAGGTTTTCTACCCCTTTCAATGCTCATTACACCACAGAGCAGATCATTGAATTCATTCAAGTGTAAGAAAAGTCTTTAAGTTGGATTTTTTTTTTCCCCAGGCCAGTAATATAATGCCAGTCTGTATCCCAAGCTTTCAAGGAAGCAGCAATAAAAATCTTTGATTAACACAGAACAGTTGTTGTATTTAAATCTTATCCAGCAGATGGGAAGAAGGCAGTGGATCTTTTTAGTCTGACCCATTCTCATGGGTTCTTTACAATCTGTCTCTGCCCAAGAAGAACCAAAAAGACAAGCGTTCACAGAAATAAAACAATGTTATGGCTGTTTCTGTGTTTGCCACTTATCACATCTCCCTGAAAAAGCAGCTATGCAGCTCTTTGTGACCAGATTTTCTGCCAAAAGTTAGTCCTCTTCCTTGTCCATTTTCATCAAAATGGTTAACTGCAAGTGGCCAGTTTTTCCTAACTGGCTTATTTTGACAGATGAGGCAGCACCACCAGATTGAGAAAACAGGAGAGGGTATTAAACTACCCCTCAAGCATCCCTACTAAAAGTTACTCAAGTCAGAAAAGTTGGATCGAAAAGACTGAAGAAGCCTATGCAGGTTCCGACTCTGGAAAAACAGGCAGAGTAAGATTTGAGGTAGCACATCATAACAATATTATTCTGCTAACATGTTCCAATCCCAGTGTACTTTACAAACACAGCATTTCTAAATTTTTTTCTTCTTGCATTCCCAAAAAATCACTCCCATCCACTCAGAAATGGGCCACACAGCTTTTAAAAGGAAAAGCTTTAACAGGCATAGTATGACACACACTTGTCAAATTAACTGCTACTTATTGTCTCTATTATCTTTTAAGATCGCTGTTAAATTTTCAAAAATCTTTCTCCATTCCTCTACATTCTTACATCTGCTGTTGAGTCATCATCATTCAGTCAGTTTTGACCAATTACTGTAACATTATACACTAATAATATTCAAGACTTTAACTGCAAGGACAACAGCAGCTAGAAATAGCTGTAATTTACTGACTCCTAGTATTTATATTGTAAACAGCTGCTGTCTGTAACAGGTATTGCTTGCTTTTCATTCAGGAACTTTAATATAATATTAACTACAAACCTAATTAGCAGTAACATGGGATTAATCAAATAATACAATTTAGGTTTAAGAACACTTACATTTACTTGTGTCACCCTGCTCTTCATCTTGACTTCCTGCTTTTTACAAAGTTCTCAACGTGCAGAAGTGAAGCAATCCAAGGAGTTCAGCACATGAAAACCATTTCACCTGTAACACACAGAATACAATCAAAAACTTTCCACCGCACACGGTGCCGGAACAGGCACCTTCCTTTTGTCCTTTAAGGCTATGCTTACACAAGTCCTTAAACCAAAAGGCTCCCCTGGTCTACTCCGATTTCCTGCGCTCATACAGCGGCTGCACAGCAGCAGTCGGGAGCTCACCGGCACAGCCGGTCCCGAGCGAGCGGCCAGGCCTCGGGGCCCTCCCCACCGACCCCGNTCGGGGCCTCCCCCGGACCCCGGGGGATGGTGCGAAGGGACGCCCGCCGAGCCCCGCACATACCCAGGCCCGCACCCGCTCCTCCCGCCGCCGCCGCCGCCGCGCACGACCCCGACGCGTCACTTCCGGCGGCGCGGGGAAAGCGCGCGGCCGGCCCCGCCCCCCTCCGCCGCCATGCTGGGAGCGGGAGCGCGCGCTGCGTCCTTCCCATCTCTGCTTGAAACGAGCGCGTTCGAGCGGAGTGAAAGAAGATAAAAGATCAGCTCGGCTTGTGCTCGGCTGGGGCCCGCTGCTCCTCGGGCCGGGCAGCCGAGGGGAAAAACACCCCGCTACTACGAAGCGCACATATTTGCCGTCAGAAGCACGTGTAGCTGCAGGGAGCAGTCAGCCGGCCTGCTGAGGGGCGGAGAGCTGCCCAAAGCACCGCCGGAAAATGCAGGGAGTTCAATACTCCTGGCCCTTGAAAGCAGCTGAGCACACGCTTGTGTCGCTTACGCCGGGAGTTAAAGAGGTGGAGATGTGTGCAGGAGAGACGGCAGGCACTGCACGGCGTTGAGTGCTGCGGGAACTCCTGTGTGGTTGAAGGGTCTTTGTGACCTCTGGAAGTTTGAAGTAATTCAGCACCGTGGAACCAGGCTAAGCGAGAGCCTCTGGCCTATACTAGGCACGAACGTGTTTGGATATTGGAAAGTAATTAATTGCACAGGAAGGGCATAAAAATGAGGAAAATGCTACATAAGGGTGTAAAATGCTTATGGTTAATCTTTAGTTCTTGTGAAATGAATGAAAATGAACTCTTCTAGGACACGGCAGATCAGGGTCAGTATCTGAAGGCAGTAACTCAGTGGAGAGGCAGATGGTTCCTGCAGGGCCAGGTGTAATGGAGCTGTGCGGGTCCTGTGCCTACACAGCTACTGGGACGTGCTATTTCTTGAGAGGAAGAAGGTGGCAATGAAACTTTCTCAAAGCTGGAAAATGCTACAATTTTTTTTCTTTCTTTTTGGGGGTTGTTGAATAAATTTATTTATTCTGTACTGAGCATTAGAGTACTTACTTTTTGTCACATCGTGTAACACACCTGCAGCACTGTTTTCATTGCAACAATTAGTACAGGCTCAAGTGCTCAGTGTCCAAAAAAGAAATTATCACAGCATGGTGAGGAGAGGACATTCATGATTGGACAGATCTGGTCAATGTGGTGCAGCAGTTGAAGACTTGGTCTTCAAGATTTAAAATTACTATCTTGCTCTTCTGTCACTATGATCTCGGAAGAGTAAAAGGAAAGAAGCATCAGGCCATGCCTGAGATCGTGCTATGCACGTTAACTCAGAACCACTTTGGTTTAAATTAGTGTTCATGCTCCCCAGCACTTGAAGCATTCACAAAAATGGAAACAAACCTGTTCTCACATTTTTCCAAAGGCCAGCAATATCATCGTAACATTGTGTATTGTAACAAATACAAATATCCTGCACTCAGGAGAAAACAGTTACTTTCATTTACAAATCCATAGCAGTCAGCTTTTTCATTTATGTTGCAATACTAAGCAGAATAATCAATGAAGCAAAACACGCCTTGCTCAAAACCAACACGGACATAGGATATGTTAAGAAACAACTATCAGAAAAAAGTGCATGTTTTTTTCCTGCTTATAACTTTTAGCTACAGGGTTTGATATCTTTGGCTTAATGATTTGCAAATGTGGCTCTTACACAGGAGACTGGAAACAGCATGTATTTGGACAGTTGTACACGTTCTGACAATGTGAATTGTTAAATGCTTTCACAAGATATTCCCTGAACCCACCGTCTGCCTGTGAACACTGTGATTTCCCATTCTGCTGTAAAAGTAATCTTTTTCCTGCCTCATGCTGTGTAAACAGGTGTCATGAAATAAAAAGGCATATGGCATCAGTGTGGCAGCAGCATCTCCTGAGAGGGACATCCTGTGGTTGATGGCGCACATGCCATCCTCCAGCCTGTCCTTCCAAGTGCCCTGGGAGAGAGAGAACATGGACAGCTGGGCTTTCCCTCAGAGGGAACCTGAGAACAGGGACGGGAAATACAAAGGTCTTTTTTGAGGTGCCTCCACCCAGAGACTACTGATAACCTCTGAGAAAGATGTTTGTGATTTAAGAGTGGCTGAATAACATGGGGCGGTTTCAATTCTTCAGTTGTCCTCTTGTAGAAATGTAATGATGTAGAAAGCTAAGAAAGGGCTGGAGCAATGGGATTCACTGAAGAAGGGAAAGGGCATTCTAAGCTGAATAGAAGTGAGGTTTCCCTTTTCTCCTCTCCTAAATTAATACTTTTTCTATTGGATTATGCAGTGAAGCTCCCTTCTGCTCATTTCTTCCCTGCTCTGCTCATCTTACAGTCTCTTTTCTGCAGTGAGTCACACTTAGATTTTATTTCTCATCAGGTTGAAGGAAGAATGCTTCAATTTTATAGTGGGTCTAGTCTTGTTGTTTGGCAAAATGCTTTAAGAGATGCAAGTTTTATTTTTGTGGGGGTGAAAAGACAAAGCCTGCACTTCCCAAGTGAATGCTTTAAGGGGGTAGGATACAGAGCAGGTTGAATACCCCAGATCAACTGTTTGGAATCTGCTGCACTCAAGATCCCAAATGTACGGAGTCTGAAGTAGAGCCATGGCTGTGTGTTCTGACTTCTAGAGAGTGAGAGGGATTCAGGCACATTCTCTTGCTTGGTATGTCTTCCACAGCTTCTTGCTCACCATGTGGGACTCCTTAATTGCCTGGGAGGCACTCAGGTGAAGCATCCAACTGAAGCAATCCTGATCACCCTGCAGGAGACATGCAGCTTACTCTGTAGGTGTAAGAGATGCTGAGGATCTCTTATCTTCATCTCATTCTGAAGCAAATTACAATTCAAACAGAGCATGATTATGGAGTCTGGAAAAAAATCCAAAGACAAAACCCCACAAGAATTAACTCATGTTGAGTGGCTTTATGTGTATTTAGAACAGCAATAATCAACAAAGAATGCTTCTTAAGTAAGCATGATGATCAGGCCTTGAAATACAGTAACACATAATTCATACAAAATTGAACTAACATGAGAAGTTTGCCTTCAGATAAGGCAAATTTTAAATATAAATTTTTACACACTGAAAATGCTGAAAGAACTGACAATTCAATTGAGACTAATAGTAATTAAATCAAACATAATTATAATGTTTGAAACCTGCTCAAAGGGAGAAAGGGTAATGCATCCAACAAACATTCATCAGCTTAATGTTTTGCATGAGTAGTCCATTAGTAAGCCCCAGGAAACATAATTCTAGTTGTATTGTTTTCCCATGGCAGTTTTTGTCATTGTGCTTGAAATGATATGAGTTAAAAATCATCCACAGGGCGCTCCCTGGGCTGGCACCTCTCCTGGCATAGGCAGCTCCATCAACTCCCAGTCTGCCATAAGTGAGCAATACAGGCTTGCCTATAGAAGGTCACTGAAAGTACCTAATACTTCAGGAGGAATGATGATAGCTACACCAATAGCTTATTCTGGGAACTGAGTCTTTGCAATTAGTATTGCTTTATTAATTTATATCAGAACGATGTTTGGAGACTGGTTTCCTTGCCAGCTTTATTAGGAGTAAGGAATTTATACACAGCTAATTCTCATCCAAGTTTATCAATGTGACCTTTAGCATGCTGTAGAATTAAAATCTTGTGCAAGGCTCCAAATTTGTTCCCAAATTTTGCAGCGTAGCTGTTGCAGTGGCTGTTGTTGCAATACAGGATATTACTCCACACATCAGCTGAGATGAGAAATCTCATCCTCTGCTGTTTCAATTTAAGGTCACATAAATGAGCCAGCAAAGGAGGCTGGAGACACCACAGCTGAACTTGTTCAGTAGCAGAGTGGGTCAGGGATGTGCAATCCCTGCTGCTTCCTTTTGTGTGGCAGGGGTTATCTCTGATACAGAGTATTAAGAACCAACATGTGGGAGAGAGAGAGAAAGAAGAAAGCTCTTGGATCACATAAATACCATTGTTTCAGAGGGATCTAATATCTGTGTTCTGCAGTGCCCTCACTGTTACAGTTTAATAACTGCTGGAAGATCATGGGTTTACAATACTAAGAAATACATCTTTTTTTTCATAGCTTGAATGCATGACACTCATCACATTCCATCACAAAATTTGTTTTTCCCAGGGAAACACCAGCAGACTCCTAGTGTGTTTTGAAACCTTGTCAAAGTGAAGCTGAGTGGCAGGGAGTGGCAATGCTCTTCTCCAGCCAGCTTCTGGGACTGAAAACAATTCTTGTCCCTTCAGGCGACTTCTAACGTTAAATTATTGTACAGTCTAAGCACTCATTTGGAAGAGGAAAGCATAGTGAATGCAGATTGGCATAAAAAAGTAATGTTTTTTTTATAGTGAGTATTTGCTTGTTAATGTTATTAATAGTTGTTTGTTTGAAGTCTTTCCTACTTAGTGGTATGGAGTGGAACCAGACTTAGTGCTGCAGGTTCAGGTCGCTCTGGGCTGTGAACTGGTGTTTTGATGCCCTTAGTTTCACTTTGTCCTTAAACACTGCAGAAGAATGTTGATTCTTTTCCACAGTTCCAAGAATTCATCAAACCAAGATGCCACTCTACAGCCAGCACCCTGAAGTTGGAATATCTGCCTAAAATTTCAGGGTTATACCATAAATTGAACTGTGTCATCATTTGGCAGCTGTAGCTTATTTAGCAGCTAAAATCCTTTTTTAGCAACTTTCAAACCCCTTTCAATTTTGTTTTTGCTCCTTTGCGCTGATTTTTTTTTTTATCCTCTCTGAAGTATTTTTATAGCTCCTGACCTTTAAAGAAAAAAATATCTCTGCTGCTCTACAGAGCTAGGACAGTAGAACCCCATGGTGGGGTCATGATGCTGAGCTCTAGAAGGTGTGTTTGTGACCAGAAACCAGGCTAATGAATGCACTTTTCCT